ATTTGGTAGGTACAAAGTGCCGGTTGTACTAGCCAGGATGGCGTGATTGATGACGAATCGCTTGTAAAAACGCGGACAAATATTTGCTCGAGTTACGCTTCTGGTATAACTTCCTATTCTGTGCCTGAGCTGGTAATCGAGCCTAGTTTGACCCATGCACACACATTTTTTATATACCGGTATACTTTATAATTTTAAGATGAGAGGTGCGAATCTCACATGACAAATACGAGCAAATAACACCCAATAATTCCTCATCACATCAAAAATATACCAAATAAATTAGGGGTAATTTCTTTTTCATTAAATTGATAGCTGTCGAGTTTGATGCTTCACATTACCATGGTGAGGATGGCCTTGGCGATGTCACAGACATCCCCAAACCTGACCTAAACCTCTTACAAAAGGAGAATGCTGTAAACTATCTGGTTCGAATCAGCCAAGAATACCCTGGGGAAATCACCTTGCTTACGATTGGTCCTCAGACAAACGTCGCACTTGCTTGCCGAATGGATCCAAATTTTGGTAAGAACTTCAAAAAACTGGTTATCATGGGTGGCAATTACCAGGGGAAAGGGAATGTTACAATTTGCAGCGAGTTTAATTTCCATTTTGATCCTGAGGCAGCCCTAATAGTTCTTGCCGAGTTTTCTTGTCCAATCATTATGGCCACTTGGGAACTGTGTCTTACATATCCAATGACTCATAAATTTGTTGCGCAATGTTTTGAGCAAGACACAACCAGGAGCAAGTTTGTTAAAAAGATAACCACAAAAACCCGTCAGTTACACCTGGACCAACTTTTTGGTATGCCAGAGGATATTATACCATGTGACGAGTACGCTGCCACAGTCGTGGTCTGTCCTGACGTAGTATTGAAGCAAGAGAATGTATTTGCATCCGTCGAGGTGCAAGGGCAATATACCCGCGGTGAGATGGTCATTGATTGGAGAAATATTTTGAATAAGAATGTTTTCATAGTCACAGAGATGGATGAGGAAAAGTGCAAGTCGATTTATAAGAAGTCTTTGCAGTGAGAGGTGATTGCTGTAGGTGCAGGTTAGTCACTAGTTAAGCTAATTAATTTTAAATATTTTTGCACCGAACCAATGAAAAAAATTAATAAATCAATTTTATGAAACTATTATGCTTTAGCATCAATATACAGAGATCACACTCAATAAACGTTTTAAATCTTATTTGCATTGATGTGCAGCCTGGTTAGTAGTTGAAATAATAGACTGTACTGTTATTGCACTCTTGCCCATGACCTTATCTTCATGTGGCTATTTCCTAATGCTCCTTCTACATTAGAGTTGAGGATAAGTTTGTGATTGGGCTCAAGATTAAAAAGAAACGTATTCATGCACGAAACATTGGAATATGACCTTTGTGTGCACCTGCCATGCTAAAACAGGCAAACATGAAAACGAGACCACTGGGGCAAAAGGGCAATGAACAGTAAAGTCTAGTGCAGGGGCATAGCCAGTCCCAAGGGAGTGGAGGGGGGTTAATTGTCTGGCTTGTCAGGGGCATGGTCCCCCAGAAAATCACAAAATTGGTCCTCCCCTAACACCCCCCTTATCCCCCCCCCCCCATTGGCTACGCCTCTGGTCTAGTGTACGTAAATTATGAAATGAAATAATCTTGAACAACTTAATTAATGCATCATTTGAAAATTATATTGATAAATAAATTAAATCAGCTGAATTAAATTTGTGGTATGAAAGTTAATGTCATTTACTCTATCTAATGCCAGATGATTTTACTTATCAAGGGGAGAGATCTGAAACTCAATGGTTAAGGGTAAATTAGTGTTTTGTGGTAAATTGGAAAAGAAAACAATTCAGTTTTGCACTTCATAATGCTCTTCATTGGCATTATTTATTATTACAAAGATATAAAATTGATTTACAATATAATTGAAACATATCATATTATAATTAAAGACAAAGTAATTGGAACCACTCTTTTTTGTTTTTTTTCCTCAAAAATTATGTACTACAGTAACAATTTCATTTCATTGTGTTTTACCCAGCCATATTTCAACCTAAAACATACAAAAGTTTGCATGAATGATACAGTCTTGGCAATTGGAACTTTGTCAATTTGTCGAGGGCAATTTTTAGTAAGACTGAAAAAAGTGAAAATATAAAAATAGCAAATTTATACTTACAAAACTGTTTTATTGACCAGGGCCAGAGAGACTTTTGTCCATGAATTTTCTTTTTGTAAAACACATCCACCACTATGGTAATATACAATGGAAAGTCACCTAAACATGTCTAAAGTATATGTATATAAATAATGGTATAATTATAATGGTACCTTTGATGGTTTATCTGTTTTGGGATCAAAAACTTTGTCAACAATTCTCAAGCCAAGCTCTTGTCGCAGTTGAACCATGTATTGACGCATTTGATCTGTAGAATGAAAAAAATGTAATTACTAAAGGTACTGTACTACAAAATAAAATATTTCTAATGGTACTGTACACTGTAGGCAAATAGTAAACCTTGCTTTTGCTTGCAACTGTTATTTAATATTGTTCCGATTTTCTACAAGCACATCTATGATGCTGTAACTACTAGATTTAAGTGATGTTTGTGAGAACATGGTGGATCTTCAGACTTCTTGGCAATTCAGATAAAAAGTGTGATAGCTTCTGAAAAGATTATTCCATACAATTGTGCTGTGTGACTTGAACATATATTCTTCTGTCCATCTACTAACTATGATTCGATAAAAAAATCTTTGATGATAAACCAAGGATATTTTTTTACATGGCCTAACCATGCTTCTCCATGGAGACAGCTATGATACTATCCATGCTATGCAACATCCAGGAATTTCTTTTAACAAACAATTCAATTTACCAGATTCTTGTCTGGAGTTGGGTTTCTGATACATGGCATTCAATGGGAATTTTGAGTCGCCAGGAATGTCAAAAGCTGTAACTGCTAATGTTTGCAGTTCTTTCCTGCCTTGTTCCTTTGATTGACACTGAAAGAGAAATCGAATTTTATTAAAGACATTTAATAAAAACTTTCCTCTTGATAATAAGATAGTGCTGCATAATATCCTCATTGCTACAAATCTCACAAAGTACTTACTTTGTTACGTTATTCTTTCTTAATTAAAGTTTCTTTATGAGACAATTTTACTTGTCAAGGGCCGGGGATGTGTTGGAGGCATCAGTAGGTTACCTACACTATCTGCCAATGTCTCTTGGTAATATAGTAGGCAGCAATACACCTTAACATGCCTGGGCTTGAAATTAGAAATTTTGAAATCCACCACAAAATCTAGTTCAGATAGTAATATTCAAACACTGAAACAATGAATCTAAGATATGTTTAAGAAGGATTTATAAACAACAGAAAAATACTGTGTCTGTGGAGGACAGATTCAATTTGTTTAGTGTCCCAATGGTACTGAGCTTATGATGTCCAGCATCCAATTTTAAAATCTGGTATCCTATGGATATTGGGACAGTACAAATTTCAAGCCCTGCATACCCTACTTTGTTATTTTATCCAAAGCCATGAAACAGTTGGACAAGTGAATATTCTGAAACAGGAATTTATATGTTAATTAATGTACCCTTTGTAGTTTCTTTAGGCATTCAGTAATGTAGAGTGTTAGGTAAATTAACACACGATCAGCATCGCCCTAAAAAGGAATTATCAATTAATACTCCAAGTTGAAAATATGTAGTGTTGTGCACAAAGTACAAATTAGGAATTCTGTATCTAACAATATTTTGTTGACTTAACCAAACTACAAAGGAAGTGTTATTGTGAGAACTCAATATTTCAAACCTTTATTTCGTAGTTCTTGAAAAATATATTGGCTTTGAAGTAATAGATGGCCTCTTCAATAATGTCAGTTGAGCCATCTGTAGTTAAAAATTTGCATTATTACAATTCTACAATAGTATTTAGATTTGCTGCAAATTGCATACCGCACATGGAAATCAGAAGAAGTGAGAGGGAGGCTTTTAGCATCCAGCAATGGAAATTGACAATTATATCGTTTAAATTAAGCATGAACCAGGAAGGCTGGTTGGCTTCCATGCCATAGAAAGTTTGAAAGAAAATATGATTTATTTAGTAAGCACGCTAGCCTGATTATAATGCATGTAATCAGTCCCTTACAGTTACAGACGAGCAAGTTTTCTATGACAAGTTTTCATCCACATACAGCAAGTTTCATTTGCCAATTACTTGTGTGTACATAAATATTCTATGAGAAATTTTAATCTTCAGGCTGCTACGATAGCTACAACAATATATCTTGTTGTCCATTACTTTATCAAATTTTCTTTGACAAGTGCACTTGTTCAGATTTCAGAAGCTAGTATGCTAGCTTTTGTTTGAACAAGTGTGCTTGTCATAGAAGTACTTGTAATGACTATAGTCTATACGCAGAAGCACAAATAAACTTGTCACACAAAATTTGTCATAGAAAACTTGCTCTTCTGTAAAGATACTTCCAAGAT